CGGGATGCGCCCCGGGATGGGGCAGAGCGAGGGGGGAAAGCCGGCCGCCCCGTCGGGGGCAGGGAGGTTTGTCCCCCTCCAGGCCAACTAGCAGCTTGTTGATAGCCCCTCAGGAATTGGCCCCGCCGTCTGTCTGCCCGAGCCTCGAAGTTCTGCGGAGCACTCAAGTAGCTTGTGAGCCACCAAGGCTGCTGCAGTTCATTAGCTCCGCTTAATTGCCATTTCCAATCAGATCTTTTCCAAAATAGCGCCTGAGCCCGCCGAAAAACCTCAGGGAATCGGTGCCAGTGGGAAATGAGCTGTGAAAGTGAGCAGGGATCCACAGTTGTGGAACGGGAACTTCAGCAAAGCCTGTGTGCCAGGCACGGGTGAGTGGCGGTGTTTGCCAAAGGAGGGACGACCTGTGACCTCTGCCACCACCACACTGGACGGCCAAGGTGGTCTTGCCACTTGAGGGGCACGTGCACCGGAGCCCCGTCTCGTCCACACCAGTAGCTAAATGAGTATCAAAAGCTACTGGATTTTTATATCTTTTTTTCCTTGCTCATGATGAAGTAAAAGCGTTTTCATGCTCGTGGGTAGTGTAGTTTTAAAAGTGGATTTTGAATTCTGCTCCTCATGCGGGACAATGCAATAGACCCGGGCTGGGTAATTAGCTTTGTACTGGAGCATCTATTGACTCTTGTTGCGATGGGCAGGAATGTCGAAACCTAGCAGGCCAGGCAGAGGTTGTGGCATCAGATACATGAATTTACTGCTGCTGTTAACATAGGGAGATGGTTCACATGTTTTTGGACTCGGTTCTTCAGCCTGTACTTGGTAGGCAGGGCTTTATATGCAGTGAAAACAAAATCTGCTGAGTTGGACAGTGAACTGTCTCCAGAAAGGGACTTTATTTCCAAAAGAGAGTTCTGTCAATTCAAAATACGTGCTGGGGCAACAAAAAATGAAATGTCTCTCACTCTAAAAATACTGTGCAGTGCAAACCACATCTTCCAAGCATTGAAAACGTCATGAGAGGGACTATGCATACTTAGTATGGTGACCTAAGCTGTCTTCAAAGAGCAGTGTCAAGTTGTGCAACACCTGACATACTTTTATTGTTTCACAGGCAAAGTAATAGCTCTGTCATTCGATCAAATTCCCCAACAACAACATCTCAGATTATGGCCAGAAAGAAAAGAAGAGGGGTACGTTGCGTTTAATTCTTCTCCCGTGTGACAATTTGCATGCGTGCTGTGATTTTGCCCTTCAACATTTTTTTATAAACTTAATATGTTATGTTTTTTTGGGAATAGATTATAGAGAAAAGGCGCCGGGACCGTATAAATAACAGTTTATCAGAGCTGAGGCGGCTTGTGCCAACTGCTTTTGAAAAACAAGTAAGCCTTTTTTTTTTTTTTTAATTCTGTATCTCATCTGGTAATGTTAGTTCTCTTGTAAAACTCATTAAAATAATATTGTATGTGTCCTGATCTGGCACAAAGCAGGCATTTCAATGAAGTGCTTTCTTGTGGTGAAACTATTAGAAACATAATTCATTATAAGGCTGAAAAACATTTCCATTCTTTGGCTTGTTTTTCCCTGAAGGGTAACAGTGTTCATGTTGCCTCTGTTCTTTCGATGAATTCCAGTAGTGGTTTTGTTAAAAATGCGCTTTACTCCGTATTTTAAAAATAAAACCCAAGCCCAACACAACTCCCCCAAACCTGTACGTCAATTAGCCTTTTGTCTAAATCTTTGAATATAATCTCATTTGCCCCTACTTTAAGAAACCTTTATTTTTTAATCTATAATTTCAGTTGCAAATTAATCAATCCAGTTTCCTGAAAAGGGAACAGACAGTCTGGATTATTCATGTTTTAAAATGACTCTTTAGAACCAGGGCATTAGGAGAGGGAATAGGCCCATGTCATGTCAGCTAGTGAAGTCAGTGATACGTTCAAAGAATTTCAGTGAGAAAGTATTCAGTGGGAAGGCTGGAAGGATCCAGCTAACTTTGGTTCAGCTCCTTGGTCATGAAATTACAGACCAAAAGCTTAAAACACAATCTATTCTGTAAAAAAAGGGCATTTTGTTTATGCCATTCAAATTAAACCATTTATTTACTTTTCCATATCTTGATTTTTGGTTTTGGGGATTTGATTCAATATTTAGCCTTGTTCCTGCTTTACTGGAGGTATCTGAAGATCTATGAATATGTGCAATTGACACTACCTTTCAATAAAAAGGAACCAACTGAAAATAAAGGATCTGACTTCCTTGTAACAGTAAAATAAAAAACAGAAAGTAAAATTTGAGAGCAGGATTGCAAGGTGCTGAATGTCAATGGTAACTGCGGGGCAAGCACCACACCATATTAGGCCTGTTACCTCCCTGGTCTGAACAAAACCAAAAAAGAAATTTTAAATATTATAATCAATGGTGAGAGCATCCCTTGTGTCACCTGCAATATGCTTTTAGTAACTAGTAGGTGTAACTGTGCCCTTGCGTAGGTTCTGGCAAAACGGAGTGACGGGTATTTTCAGCTAGATAAACAGGGGCAAGAGACAACAGTTGTTTGTCCCATTTTATTGTTTACTTCTTGAAAACCACAAACATTATAAAACAAGTCCTACAGAGCCTTTGGAAATTACCCAGCGCCGTGCAGTTTTTAGCTATTAGTCACTCTCACTGAGATGTCTTGTACTGTGTCTATGGAAAAGATGAAGTCTGAGAAAAGTACAGGATGTAGTCGCATGTCAAATGGGGAATTTGGACCAAAAATTAACATGTGCACCACCGTTTGTAGAAGGAAAAAGCCGAAAGCAATAAGCAGATTAAAAAAAAATAAATATATTGGCGTAAAAATGAGTGCGCACTGTATTTTCTTCAGAAAGCCCGACCATTTTTCTGAAATATGCCAAGGACAAAGTCATCGGTCCTCTTCCAGCTCCTTGACATTCAGCTCACTGAAGTTTCCAAGTTGGAGGTTTAGTTTCGCTTCCGCCTCCCTCCCTCCCTCCTTCCCTCTCTCCCTTCCCAAATCACAGCTCTGCTCTGCAGAGTCCCTCGCAGAGATGAGAGCTGGCGAAGCGGGGCCGTGGAGGAGGGTGTAAGCCTCACCTAATTCACACGCGTGCAACCTGGGCAAAGCCGGCTGGGGCTGCAGGATGGCCGACGGCAGGGAGGTGGCCCGGATGATAACTAAGAGAAAAATTCGGCTTGCAGGATGCCATCCGCCAGTGGCCAAAGCTTGTGCAGCCCTGTTTTTAACTGGTGCCAAGGGATGATCTCTTGCAGCAAAATAACATTTGCGTGGTCAACTCAGTCGTCTGGGTGTGCTCCAGATATTGAAGGGAATGCTACCGCGCAAAATATTTTTATTTATGGGTTAATATAATAATACTACCTTTTGAGTTGTATTTTGTACTTTTCCAACACTTTTTCATAGTTCTGTGACCCACTCTCGGTAACAGAAAAGATTTTTACTCACAGAGGAGCTAAACTCTTTCTTTTTCACAGTGTTTAGCTTCATGTCCCTGCAGACTAGGCCTCTCGCTAACTTAAAATACTGTGGACTGTGCAGTTGTTTTTTCGGTCGAGAATGAGAATAGAATATTCAGCAGCCAAATGGCATGTCGAAAATTAATAGGCGATTAAGAAAGAGGGATACTTCTGGGTGTGCGTCCACAGGGACACCTACTGGTAAAAGCAGAAAAAAAAAAAGTTGCAGCAGGGTCTTCATCGATCACTGCGCAGACCTGTCTCCATTTGTGTTTGCTGGTAAAAAGAAAGTCCAGAAAGTTACATGTTTCTCTCATTTCATGAAGATGTCATCTCTACACTGTCTTCAAGGCCATAGCTACGCTAAGCTATAGCCTTAATAACGCAAAATTGTGCTGCTGCTGTTTGTATCGCTAGAGAGGAGACAGCATTACTCTTTAGACAAAGTCTGGGAGGCAGATGCTCACGGAAGAATTAAGCCGAGAACGTCCTAATGATAGGGGAAATTGAAACCATAAGGCTGAGCTCAGTGGAAAGTATATCAAATTAAAGTTTCTAGTACTTGTAAGCCTTTATTTATACAAGTCTCTTATCTCAAAGGGATCTGCCAAATTAGAAAAAGCGGAAATACTGCAAATGACAGTGGATCATCTGAAGATGCTGCAGGCGACGGGAGGTAAAGGTAAGGCGCTGATGATTTCTTTTCTAATATTTGGGGAAATCTCACCAAGAAAAATTGCTTTGAGGAGCTGTGATAGGCGTTTCCAGATTAAAGGAGTGGAAATCAATGCTAATGGCGGGATTGAACTCGTGGGAAAGAACTACTGGGACAAAAGAAGCACTTGACCCTGGGCTTGTGTTTGCTTTCATAACACTGTGGGAGTAAAGGCTTCATTCACAGGCAGCCCAGTCAGAGATTTGTTTGGGGTTTCCAAAGAGCACTGAAATCTGCACAGGGAGACAAAACAAATACACAAACACCAAACATAAACAGGAGGTTTGTGGCAACAATTGTGTAGCCCAAAACCGATGCTAAACCTCATTATCCAGCAGCTATACCGAAGGAAGTGGATGGAGAGGAACTTTCATTGTTGTTTATGTATTTTCTTTGCTCTGGGAAGACTTTTTAATGCCAGGTTAGACTGTCTTCATTCACCGGAACAAAACCCAGTCTTGCCCCATGCAGCTCCAGGTATCTGATAAAGCAGACAAGCAGCCGTGCTCACTTCTGCACTCATATTTATATGCTGTATTTGTGTGTCAGAGGTCTGCATAGTTCCCTGTTAGTGGGTGCTGGCGTGACGCAGGGGCTGCCCTGGCTGACCCACAGGGTCAGCCGGCTGCTGGGAGTCGAGCGTACCTCGCTTGTGCAAGCTGACCGTCCCAAGGCTGGAGGCCAAATGATTTCAGCCACCCACGAGGTATTTCTGTATAGTCATGATTTTGGAACTTAGTTGGAGTGAAAAACTCACTGGCCTCCTGTAAGCACGGTCCCGTGTCCCGTGCCGTCGACTGTGATTGTGGTTCAAACTGTTGCAACAGAAACCGGCCAATTTTTCATTGACCCATTCTGCCGTGTAGGTAGAGGCCAGAAAAGAGGCAGCTGCTGCTCGCTCTCTTCCTTCTTTGCTTAAACTCAAAAGATTTTAGCCCATGATTGAATTACTGTTCCTGTCTGTACATTGCAGCGATTACAGAATTCAGCTTATAATCAGTGCACTCTTAACAACAGATGGTGATAGGAAAGCATGTTGAAGGCCGGTGTTCTGTTATTTGTGAAAATTAACACCGACCTGACATACGTATTTTCTAGGTGTTAAGAGGCTTTTGCTAGGCATCCGTTTCAGCTTAAAATTTATGGGTAGCTTGTTCTATAAGAGGTGAAAGGGATTTTATTGTCCTTCATATAGCAGACGCGCCTCTTGATTCCTTAGAAAATGTGCAAAATTAAATCTAAAAAAAATAGTTACTTTTATATCTAAGATCAACCTTGAAAAAGCACTATTTAACTGGTAAAGCTATGCTCTTGCAAGTTACGAAACGCCAGAAGTGATCACGCTTGTGCAATTTGAATTCAGATCCTCTGTGTGTGTGCGTGATGGCGCCGTCTGTACTTGCATGGTTGCGTTGCTGGCGTTCCCCAAGCTCTGTCTCACTTCGTGCACGGGGCCGTTGACGCTCAGCTGCTGAGGGAAGCCGTGGTTGTTTCGCTTCATCCTCCCGGCGCGACGTGCGGCTCAGCTATCCCACCTTGACCCCCGCTTCACGCTGCACATCGCTCCCCTTAAAAGCTGCAGCAGCTCCCACCCCTCCGATACCTGCAGCAACGGTGGGAGGTCCGGGAGGTCCACCCTACTTCCCCTGCCTCCCTGCCCAAAAAAAAGTATGTGGGGGATTATTTTATATCAGGTCGGGTGGCCCCAGCTAGTGGGGCAGGGGACGAAGTGCGTGGGATGGGAGCTGCCGGGCAGAGAGAGGTGTCGGCAGAGCTCCGGCTGCGACCAGACAAGCCGGGTTTTGTTAGCAGTCTCATGTCCTCTTTGCTCTCTTCTTTGGTCTGCCACCACCGCCGTGGCTCTCCCTGCCCCGGCTGACACTGGCGTGCCTGGGGCTGCCGGAGGGCGGCGTGGGGAAAGACGAAGCATCGGGGACCGGGGAGAGGCAATGCCGGCTTATACCCGCAGCTGCCTTCTACACCATGGTCTGTGGTGGGTGGCACATCAATATAATACCCGATTGCTTCACAAATACGATGGCTTTTATCTTCTCCTTCTGACCCAGAGATAAGAGTAATCTCACTGCGTGGATTAAGAAACTTTAAGAAAAATAGGTTTGCGGGTTAGTACCGGGTGAAGTTTAAGTCTGTGTTTCCTGCTTGCTCGATGTTTTACTTTGCAACCTAAGTAACAGCTTTAAATATAATTTCTTAGGGTGTTTTAAAGGCAGATATTTGTTTTATTTGCAAGTGTAGTTATTCCCACTTTGTAACTCATCTTTCGAGCCACAAACTTTTTTTGCATCAGCAAAAAAATGCGTTCCATCATTTTCCTGATGGACAAAAGCTATTATCGCAGCAGGGAGGGAGAAATGCATCCTGATACCCTTATGTTCCCCTGCGTTGAGGGCTGGGGAGAGCGTCCTCTTCCTCCTCACACAGAAAGGGAGGACACCCACGATGGGGAATGCCTGGGGCTAGGAAAGCCAGGGTGGAGCCGGCTGCTGCTCAGCGTGCTCAGCCCGAGGTGGGCACAGCAGAAGAAAACCCAACGTGCCTCCCATCCCTTGTCTGCTTTTTGGAGCTGCCCGGGCACGCAGGCTGCCGCCTCTGAGGTCCTCCACGGGCTCTGCGTTTCTGCCACCCTTGACGCAGGTGTGGGCAATGGTCCCCTGTTCATGTTGAGTTGTTATTTTGGCCTGGGGCCAGGGCTTTCCGCTGACCATGCAAGCAAGCACAGGGGAGGAGTAGTTTGTCAACAGCAAGTAGCTTGCTGGGACCTCAAGTGTTGTTTTCTTGCAGCTTCACTGCAAATTTAGCTTGGGTGACTGACACCTGGGTCAGCAGCGTGGGTTACTATAGCTCAATTGACTTGAAGGAAAGCTGAGGCTTCCCATTCACGACAAAACGCCGGCATGTATGCATGTGGGTGGTGGTGAAGGATGTTCTTGGCTTTTGGAAAGAAACAAGAAATGACATTTTTAAGTCTCTCTCAGAAGGGGGAAGCCAGCAAAAGGGAAACCTGGAAAAGATAACCATCGCAATCAAAACATAACGGAGCCTGGGAGCCCCAGCTCTCATCTCCCCTCTGTTTGCGTGTCTCAGCCACCGTAGGAGACTGAGAGGGAGCCAGGATCACCAGGGCTTTGGAACAGCTCATCACAGAGCCAGCAGCTCAGACTCAGGGGAAGCTGGTAACAACCACATCCCCCATGTCTCCTCCGGTCCGGAGGGAGGGAGGCTGGGAAGCCCTGGCTTGAGCCGCGCGCTCCCAGGACTCCCAGGCTGGCTGACTCGTGGCCAGAGCCGGGAGGCGGCTTTGGCTGTGCATCAGCCCCTCTGAAGCTGCCGGAGGTCCTGGAGCCTCCGGCGTGGAGGCAGTCCCCATGCCAGGCTGGCTGGCACCCGAGCAGGTACCCTGCTAGCTTGCCACCGCTGGCCTGCCTGGCGTTCGTTTCTGGGGATTTCACTCAAACCACAGCGTTTCCACAGATCCCATGGTCGCAGGGGACCTGGCGGGCAAAAAGCTGTGAGGAGTCAGGGCTTGCTGAGACAAGTCCTCAACCCCTCGTTGCCCACCCATCTGCTGGCCAAGCTGGCATGTGTCTTGGGTTTCGGACAGCCTCAGATGAGCAAGGCAGCCTGCGTCAGAAGTGCCATCGTAATTTGGCAAGAAGGGGTATATAGCACACAGGGGCTTTGTGCCGACGTCTATAAATGTGCCCAAGTTAATTCTATAACGCGGGTATGCAGCAGCAGAAAGGCTCCTTTCTAGCTTGAAAGTTGATAAAAGTGAAACCAGCCATCTAAGATGCTAGGATTTTTCTGAAAGACTGAAATTATTTCGTGCAAGAGAGTGCAAGGCCCAATGTAGGTATTGCTGCCAGAATCCTCCATAAAAAGGGCACTTGATTATATCTATATACTAACACACATCATAGTCATGCATACCTAAAAATTTTCACTGAAAGCAAGAGGAAAAAACACCATGACAGCTTGGGAGTGGGTAGGACATTATTAGTTTAAAAGGTGACTACTTTTAAACTAAAATAGGAAAAATCAAAAAACTGGAATAGGTTTTTGTAGTTGACGAGCTGCAACTTAAACACTAGATTTGATGCTAGACACTTTTAGAAAGGAAATATCTTTTCATGTGCATTTAATAAGACAATTTTTTTTTTCAAATGCTTTTTTGTCCCAAGCCTGTGGAGCTCCAGTTGCTGTTTGTTGAAATACCTCATGGGCCATATGACTGTCAGTCTTCCATCTCCAAATTAGCAATGGCATTGCATAAAACGTTTTCTCAGTAAAGCTTTTTATTGTGTGTGTGCAGAGTCATGACAAGATGTTTTTAGTTTGTAGTTAAACAACACCGTATGTCATATTGTCTTAATGACTCTGTGAAGTAGATGGGACCCCGGCAGCAGTTACAACAACTATCTCACAATGTCAAGAAATAGTTTGAGGGCGTTACTAGGAGTGCCAGCGTAGGGAAGAAAAGGCAGGGTAGTACATGCAAGCTCTCTGATCTCCAGCCTGCTTTTTTGTGTGGATAAACGTCTGGTTCACACGCGCGCACAGGGTCAGTACTGCACTGCAAGCAGCTTGCTGAGGACTTTCAGGAGAGGCATCGTGTGTCTTTTTAAGTATCACGAGTACTTATGGGCTTAATTCTTCTCATTTGTATATTGTCTGCAAAACCAACTGCAGCCTATTGTATTACAGGGATGGTCGCACAAATTGTTTACAGATCAGAGAACAAACTTTTCGCCTTGCAAATCTTAGCCCGTAACTGGGAGATCCAGTGGCTGAGCAGGGACCGGGGTAGCCATGTCACCGCACGTTGGCTGGGAAGCCGGCGCAACACTCAACGCTTCTTTTGCCCTCCCCTTGCAGGTTATTTTGACGCTCATTCCCTGGCCATGGATTTCATGAGCATTGGCTTCCGGGAGTGCTTGACGGAGGTTGCGAGGTACCTGACTTCGGTGGAAGGTCTCGACACGTCCGACCCCCTGCGCGTTAGACTCGTGTCTCACCTGAGCACCTGTGCCTCTCAGAGGGAAGCTGCTGCCATGACCTCCTCCATGGCCCAAAACCACCACCCCTTGCACCCTCACCACTGGGCAGCCGCCTTTCACCACCTCCCAGCCGCTTTGCTGCAGCCGAACGGACTCCATGCCTCCGAGGCCACCCCGTGCAGACTCTCCTCGGACGTACCCCCGCACCACGGCTCTGCCCTGCTCACCGCCACCTTCGCCCACGCCGACGCCGCCCTCAGAGAC